AGCGGGCCAGCGCTCGGGCCGGGCGGGCGTGGGCGCACCGGACGTCAATGGCCGCGCCCAAGTGATTCTCGTGTAGTTTTTGTTCCTGTCGTTTTCTCAATAAAACCTTAGACCAGTTTATAGTCCTTTTTAGTTCACCGATTTTATGATATCTTGCTAGCAGCGTGCAGCAGAAGCTATAAATCTCACATGCTGCTTGTGTACGATCAATCGTATTTCTGTTGCTACTAAGTTGTCGCGCCTGCATTCGTTTGACCGCATTCGAAAGGAATGTAAATAATTAGCATGAGTCCTGTTGAGGTCGTTGAGTGCGTAAGCTGAGCTATACAAGTGATATATCATAGCTGACAACAACAATGCATATCGATGAATTATGTTACAAATATGTAGTGTTTAATTAAATGTTCATAGCCTTGTATAGCTATGAACATTTATACATATATCTCCACATACAAATTTCATGAAATATATTCTTTACAGAATTCCTAATGTTTGCGATATTGAAATTACTAATATATACGAAGTATATGATTTATTAAGAAACATGGAGCAGAAATATTTACTATCGATTTGGTAAAACTTATTTAGCGTTATCCTTACATGCATCCATGGAAGAAATAAGAATTATGAAGCGTTCTTAATTTGTTACGTTAGTTGGATATTCTAAGGGAAAAAAACATCATACCATGTATGCATATACACAGATACATAGTTATATGCTGAATTATAATTTGTGTTGAGCTATGATTTGTGATTAATAATAATTTATGCTGACATAATTTGTGCCGAACTATAATATGTGCCCAATTATATGTGCCGAGCTATAATTTGTGCTGAACTAGAACATTATAGTTTATGCTGAACTATAATCTGTGCTGAACTAGAACATTATAGTTTATGCTGAACTATAATTCATGTTGAACCATGATTTGCTCTGAACCAGAAAATTATAATTCGTACTGAACTATAATTTGTTTTGAAAAAGTTGTGAAGCATATTCAAAAGGTATTTACTTGTAGCCTTGTTTATTTCACTGACAGGTCATTCAGTTCAGTTCAGTTAGTTGCGAAGTCATGCTTCGCCCGGGCCTTTTCTCTGGAGTGGCCCGACCTAACAGGTCATCACTACGTCAGGTCTAAATGGACCATTCACACGAGAGGACCTGAGAGAACAGGTGACTTTACATACGCGGACTTTGGGGACGCAGACACTTCCTACCTCATATAAAAGATCCTGAGACTGCAGCGTCCTCGCCACATTCTCCTACACCTCAGCTAGCATTACATATCGTTGCAAAACAAAAATGGACTACGGAACTCTCACCGGCAGTACGTATATTTTGCGTACTGATGCCTCACCCACGGTTATAGACAGCGTAGATGATATGTTGACCCTCCATACCTTCATCTCGGACACGCGAGACAAAATCTTCACGGCAGGAAAAGTACGAGATTTCCTCTCAAGACGTCTGACGGAGATGACGAACCTCGGCGCCCGCGGTTTTGAAAACACCTTCGTAACCCTGGATACCATGAGGCACCTGTATTATCGGTATCAGTTGGTACTCACGAGAGATCTCTTGGTGGCTCAGGGAAGGCTCGGTACTCCTGGTCTACCGGAACTCTGGCGGAACTGGTATTGTAGTGTGACGTCGCTTGGAGTTCAGGCACCGAATGTTCACGACTCTTATATTGATTCTAGAGGACCAACCAGTGCCGGTACTTGGAGAGCTCAACGGTATCATTTTGGTCGATTTTGATAAGAAATATCCCCATTCATATCCTAATAAAGATTTATGATATACAGGAAACCGGTTATTTATCTACGCTTTATTTAAGTATACGGTTTCATTTTGGATTATTTTCCGTTTTCTACAAAAAAGATCGTGTCACAAAGAATTGTTGCCTTTTGTTGCATTCACTCTCACTCAATTACATTCACTCTGATATTCCGATGCAGGCCAGCCAATCCAGTTATGATATATGACATATGTACACACACACACACACACACACACACACACACACACATATATATATATTATATATATAATATATATATATATATATATATATATATAATATATATATATATATTATATATGAATTTATATATATATAAATACATCCAGTTATGATATATTGTAACACAACACACACACACGCACACACACATATATATATATATATATTATATATATATATATATATATATATATATATATATACATATATTATATATAATGTATATATAATATATATATATATATGTATATATATATATATATATATTATGTATATATATATATATATATATATTATATAATAATATAATATATAATATATATATATATATATATATATATATATATATATGTTATATATATATATATATATATATATATATATATATATATATATATATATATATATATATTATATATATATATATATATATATATATATATATATATATATATATATATATATATATATATATA